CACCTCTAGCCCCTCCCACTGTCTTTTTTTTTCTTTTAGATTTATTTATTTTTATTGGAAAGTCAGATTTACAGAGAGGAGAAACAGAGAGGAAGATCTTCTGTCTGCTGATTCACTCCCCAAGTGGCTGCAATGGCCAGAGCTGAGCCAATCTGAACCAGGAGCTAGGAGCTTCTTCTAGGTTTCCCACGCTGGTACAGGGTCCCAAGGCTTTGGGATGTTTTTTTGACTGCTTTCCCAGGCCACAAGCAGAGAGCTAGACGGGAAGTGGCACTGCCGGGATACAAACCAGTGCCCGTGTGGGATCAAAAGTAAGCAAGGCGAGCACAACAACCACCAGGCTACCATGCTGGGCGCCCCTCTTCCATCTTTCCCTTTACCTTCCTGATATCAGGGAATCACCATGGAAGCAAAAGAACTATGAGCATCCGGGTGATGTGAAAAGAGAAAAGATACATAGACAGGAATAAAAAGTCCATGGCTTGGGGCTGGTCCTGTAATGAAGTGAATTAAGCTATGGTCTAGTTTGAGTCCTGACTTCTTCACTTCGGATCCAGCTCCAATATGCCTGGGAAGGCAGAAGATGGTCCAAGTGCTTGGACCTGTGCCACTGAGGGAGAGACCTGGATAAAGTTCTAGGTTCATGGTTCTGGCCTGGCCCAGCCCTAGAAGTTACAGCTATTTGAGGTGTGACCCAGCAAACCTCTCTATCTATGTATCTTTCAGATAAATAACAATACATCTTTACAAAGATGTATTAATTTTTATTGGAAAGGAAGATCAGATTTATGCAGAAGGAGATACAGAGAAAGATCTTCCATCTACTGGTTCACTCCCCAAATGGCCACAATAGCCAGAGCTGAGCCAGTCCGAAGCCAGGAGCCAGCCAGGATCTTCTTCCGGGTCTCCCATGCAAGTGTAGGTTCCCAAGGCTTTGGGTCCTCCTCTTCTGCTTTCCCAGGCCACAAGCAGGGAGCTGGATGGGAAGTGAAGCATCCGGGACATGAACTGGTGTCTATATGGAATCCGGTGCTTTCAAGGTAAGTATTTATCCATTGAGTCATTGCACTGGGAATAGATCCATCTTTAAGAAGAAAAAAAAAAATTCATGGCTACTGTGGGCCCACATTCACTTACATTTTGATGAGCGGCGCCCCATATGTTCATTGTCCACAGTATCACTTGTCCATTCCACCTTTTTCTCTGGCTTCCGTTTCCGAAGTTTGATGGTTAGACTCCGATTCTCCTAGAAGGTTAAGAGGGCTGGGCTCACCTATCTGGTTTCCCCTAGTGATCCTTCCCACTCCCTCCGTTCTTCCCCAGCTCAGTCTGTACCAAGACCCAGAGGAGGCAAGTGCTGGGAACAATGCAGAGAACAGACCCCCTGAGGAGGAAGTACTATTCCCTATTCTTGATGACCATGTGCATAGAGAGAGAAGACACAATTCCTAACCTAGGGGTGGGCTCAGCAAATCTTCCAAGAATAACACAGCCCTCGCTGCTTCTCTTCCCCAAAGCATCCTTGGTGGTACGGACGCTTGAAAACGATTTTCTCAGCGTCCAATCGCGGACATTCTGTCTCCAGACCTCTTATTCTCTCTCATTCTAGAAGGACCTTATTTCTTTCCTCTCTGGTCCTTAAAGTCAGCCTGCACCACCTCCTAGTCACTTGTTCCCTAGCCTCCTGGTCATCTCTCGTGGTGACTTCTGCCAAACTACTAATTACTAAACTCCAGCGTTTGAGTCCCATGCAACACTCTCTTGGAAAAGCCATGTAAACCTGCTTTTACCAACATGGTGTTTGTTTCTCTAGTTACATCTTCCTTTTCTGGTTCGCCTCTCTGGTTCTTGCTTCTTCATTCCCTCCATTTCCCTTTACACCCATCCCACCAACACTCCCTGGTCCAACTCCCCTAGAGCTGCCTTCCAATCAGGCAGCACTTCCGCAAGCTGCCTTGCTGCTTAATCCTCCATTTCCCGTTCTTCCACAACTTAAGACTTAAGCATCAACACCTAACAAGTCCTTAGTACTGGCCCTTGCTCAGCCACCTGCATCCCGGCCACTCCAACACTGTAATTCTCCCAACCCCAGCTATTCAGCCCGCACTCCCGCACCGTGCCGCAGCTCCCCAAGTCCTGTCCCCCTCTCCTCCCAGACCCCAAAGCAGCGCGCCCCCTGCTTTCTCACGGGCTCGGTTGTCACGGTAACCGTTGTCTCAGTGACGGTCTCACTCAGCCCGGCCCCTGCCTCCGCCATGGCTATGGCTGAGGGGAGGAGGAGGGAAGGGAACAGGGACACCTTTCCCCTTTTCTGGGTCTCTGGGATCTAAGAGAAGCGGTATCCAATGCAGAGGAGTGTTAGCCGGGAGCCTCCGCCTTTTTCCCCCTCCTCCTGGGCCTCCGCGTCCCCACCCCTGGGGAGAACCTGTCCAACCCCACTTCCGGCTCCCTGCTTCCGGGTGTGACGCACCCGCAGTCCCCCGCCCCAGGTCGTCCCTGCACCAAACGCGTCAAAGCGCCGGCGTCGCCAGAGGAGTTCCGCCGTAAGGTGCAAGTGCGCAGGCGCACAGCTCCAGCGGAAGGGGTGTCATGGCGGCAGCAGGACGGGGCTGGGGCTGGGGCTGGGGCGGCAGGACTGGTCTGAGCTCGCACCCGCGGGGCAGCAGGACGAGCGGGATCCGGCGGGTGCTGCAGTCGGCGTCTGGAGGAGGGGAGGCAGGTTCGGACCTCCTGCAGCTGTGGCCGTACCGCCGCATCCTTGACCCTGGGGCAGGAAAAGTGAGGGCGACAGGAACGACGCTTTCTTGGGCTTATTCCCTGTTAGTGTTGCGTCTAGGCTTCCCTGAATGGAAGACAGGCCCGGGGAGCAGTGGGAAACACTTGATGAACCAAGCGATATGGGTTCTACTCGGCGCCCGTTAACTTGAGGAGACCTCAGTGCACCTGCAGGTGCGGTGTTTCCGGTCAGTGTCCAGGCCTTGAGGGTGAGATGTGTGACACCCGGATTCTGAGTGCCCAGTGCGAAAGGCAGGAGAGCTCAGGACGAAAGGTACAAGGACATTAAAAAAACAAAAAACAAAACAAAACAAAAAAAAAAAACACGAGTTAACATCTAACTCACCCGTGAATGTGAATTTAGTTCCAGCCTGTCAGCATGCTCTGGGGGGGAGGATAGGTTTCAAACCTAGAAATAGTCCTAAATTGCAGCATAGGTCATTTTATAAAAAATTGTATCAGTTTCTAAGAAATAGAAAGTGGAAAAGCAAGAACCAGCAGGACAATCTTTGTTGAAGGCAGACGGCAGTTTACCCAGTGTGTGCAGAAAGAAGCCAGTGAGGTGCGATAGTGCATGCTGGTGCTGGTTGTGTGGAAAGCTCTATTTGCTAAGAAACTGAGATTTTAGCCAGTCCATGATGAGGGCCAGAGAAAGGTTTAAAGTGGGTTCGAAACATGAGCAGGTTTGTTTGTTTCAATAGTGGGTTAGGAAGCTCCCAGCCATGTTCAAATGCACAGCAGGGAATCTGCCCTCAGTTGCTGTGGGAAGGAGATGGGCCCTCAGATGTGACGGGTGTGGAGTGGGGGACAATGGCGACTGTTAGTACACTCCCCTCTTGATCGCATTCTAAATGCAGGATTCAGTTTCTGGTCCAGTGGTTGAACCACCAGCTGAGACTCCTATATCTCTCTCGGAGCCTGGGTCCAAGGCTGCTCCAGCTCCCCTCTAATGCAGATCTTGGGTCTGTTGGGGGTTCCTGGTATTCACAGGGGAGACCTGCGTGCGTCCCTGGTCCCTCTTTGGCATCAGTGCAGCCCTTGAAGACTAAGTATTTGAGAATCAGCAGATACTTCATCTGTGTCAAATGAATAAACATTAAATCATTTAAAGCAAGGAATGCAAGAAAAATGAGATCCTGAATGTGTTGTGTTGTGCCTTGACTAGGTATTTGTTATTCTTGAAAGTTTCTGAGTCAAAGTGAAAAAGGGGGGAAAAAAGAGTAGGGCCATGGTTATGGTACAGTATGTGGTGTGTTAAGCCACCACTTGCAGTGTAGGGATCCTGTATGGGTGCCAGCTGCTCCACTTCTGATCCAGCTCCCTGTGAGGAAGGGTGGAGCAGCAGAGGATGCTAGCCTAAGTGCCTGGGCTCCCTCACCCCTAAGGGAGACCTGTAACTCCTGGCCCAGCTCTAACTGCTGTGGTCATTTGCTAAGTGACCCAAAAGATGGAAGACGGCTCTCTGTCTCTCCTCTAACTTGGCCACTCAGATAAACTAAATCCTTGTAAAAGGATAGAATTTAGCATGTACAGTATAATGCGTTTAAAACCCCAGGGAGGAGTCTGGCCTGGGGGCTTCCAGGGTAGATACCCATGCCCCATATCCACATGCTTGGGTTTGAGTCCTGCTGCAATCCCGACTCCAGGCTTTTGCCTGTGTGCACCCTGGGGGCAGCAGATGATGTTCCTAGTGGCTGGGTCTCTGTCGCTTATTTGGGAGACCTGGATGAACTTCCTGGCTCCTGGCTTCAGCCAAGCCTGATTCTAATAAAACAATCAATACATAAAAGTTTTTAACATATATATATATATATATGCATGTATGTCTCTATCTCTATATATATAAACACGTACTTCAAAAGGCTCATGGAAAATTTCTTCTAGTGCAAAAAGATTTTGAAATTCAAGCACACTTTTTTAATAATTACATTATCTGTGAACATTTTGGACCACTGTCCTTTACATGGACTTCAAATTTTTCTTGTTCCAAAATAATTTTCCAATTCCATGGACTTCCTGAAGACACAGACACCTCTGCACGCACCAGAGGACAGACATGCACTTCCGTTATTTCTGTGGAATGAGAGTCTTTGTCACTTTTACTTCTTTGTTTTTCCATAGAAGAATGTTTCAGTGAATATATATCTGAGGAGCAATTTTTTTTTTAAGTTTTCCTAAATAAGTACATACTGGTATTCCTACAATCTGATTTGTCCAAAATTAAATTGCTGTTAAATCTCTCAAGCCAAAACCTGGTTTTTATTTCCCCGAGTTCAGGAACCCAAACAGAGGGAGAATACTTAGAACTGCTTCTTTATTATCCTCATTTCTGGCTCCCTTCTTTCACTCTTTTATTGGGGTGACAACTTTTCATACAAATATAGTCCCATAAACATTTAAATTCCTTTGAGAATAAGAAAAATTATAAATAACATGTGGGGATCTTAAAGTCAATTGGAGGTAGAACACTCTGGAAACAGTGACCCCGCAAGATGACCAAGCCAAGCACTGCAGCTAATGTCCAGTGGATATGGCATCTGAGAACCAGTATCCTTCACCTTCTGGAGATTTGTGGAGTTGCCCAGAAAAAAAGTCATGAATCTTCCTTCTCCTGGAACCTGCAAGAAAGAAATGGCTGTGATATTGACTCAAAGAAAGGTTTCCTGGCAGTGTAAGAAATCTTCAATGAAACAGTCCAATAAGGACTTTTCTTTATGACACTCTGGAGGCCTGGCTTCCCTAAATACTCCTCCAACAATGGAAATCACTGGGATCAAAAACAAATCTTTTAAGTTATAAAGTATGCAAAGTCTTCTTAGAACACAAAAAAACACTAACCATGAAAGAAAAAAGCTGAACCTCATGAAAATTAAAAACTTAAAATGTTCATATAAAAGAAAAAAATAGCAAGTGTCAAACTTGCGAAAAAATACCTAACTATAAATATTTTTAATCCAGCGGTAAATGCCAAGAAAGAAAAGGCAATCTCTAGTTTAAAATGATGTAAAGCCAGAAATCTCGAGGTTAATGTAAAGCCCCTACTACTATGATGGCTTTATTGTGATGGCCACGGCAGCATTTAGAATCCACAGCATGACAGGAGTCACACTTCTCCCCAAATTACTCTTCTCTGCTGAGAATTTCGAACATATAGGCCCTTCCATGCACTTGCAGCTAAAATTCATAACACATGACTTGTCTAAAAAATATAAAACAAGAGTGTGTATTTAAATATGATTCAGGCTTGACAGTGCCTCAAGCACCCAAACGCAACTATTAGCTCAAGCCTCAAAGGAACTCCTTTTAACTCAAGTTTTAAACAATCAGAGAACTGTTTTAAACAGTCAAAAAGAAGGTGCCACAAAACAGCAGAAATAGCAAGACAACAACATTATATCCACAAAAGCTAGAAACTTATTAATATATCTAGTGCACATTTAAAGAATAAAAGGAGTGACTTAAAATACAACTCAGGAACTGAGAAGGTGAAAAAATTGAAAAAATGGAACTTTAAGAATTGGAGCAAGACATGGGAGACCTGAAGAGAACACTCAGAAGGCAGTATAAAAACAGAAAGGAAAAGTAAGATGGAAAAGGTGTAACTACTCATGAGGCCTGCAGCGGGGAGCATTGAAAACAGGGAAACAACATCAAACGATAGTTTTCCGAAGTTAATGATAGAACAAATCCCAAACAGGATAGACCCCGTGCTGGCACATCCCAGTGGAGCCGTCCCCAGGACCCTGTCCACGGAGCACGCAGGTCACCGTGCCCACTCGCACGGTGGGCAGCGGGGCGGAGAGGATGCACCTGCACTTGGTGCAGGTGTAGAAGACCGTCTGCCCCTCGTCGGCCGAGCGCATCTGCCTGGTGTGGTAGGCCATCCCCTCGTGCCCGCATCGGGAGCAGCGCCTGTCCACCTGCGGGGAGACGGGGAGCTCAGGGCGGCCTGGGCAGGTGGCCCTGCCCGCTCCGGAGTGCATGCGGGACTCCCCACAGCTCGGCTGCCACCGCCCCCTTTCCCTCGCTTCCCCACAGCTCGGCTGCCACCGCCCCCTTTCCCTCGCTACTTTTTTTGGGGGGTCAGCCCTTTACCTCCATGACTTACCACTGGCCCCTGGAACTCGGGTCCTTCCTCCGCCGTCCCAGGCACGGCTGAGCCCAGGGAATGAAACACGACCGAAGTCTTCACGAGCTTCCCTTCCAAGTCTGCGCAGACATTAAGGGCTGGATGTGGGGGTCCTGGGGGCGGCCTCGCCCCTCGCCCCCCAAGGTGGCCAGGCCGGGACGCCCTCCGTGCTTCCCTGCGGGTCCTCCCCAGCCCTCCCCGGCTCCGCACCCCGCACGTGGACGGAGAAGCCACAGCGAGGGCAGAGGACCGCGTCCTGGACGCCCGGCAGAGGCAGCACCGAGCCGCAGTCGGGACAGAAGTCCAAGTCCGACTGGAAGCTGGAGCTGGTGACGGTGCTGGCGCGCTCCATGTCCACTCGCGGCCGAGCGCTGGCAAGGGAAGGACACGTCTGTGAACACGAGACAGAGGAGCCCCTCCGCACTCCGGGCGGGCCCTCCCCTCCCCTCCCCTCCCCTCCCCTCCCCTCCCCTCCCTCCCCTCCCTCCCCTCCCTCCCATCCTCTCACAGGACCCCGGCGAGTGGACCCCGAGCCCTCGCTCCCACCTACGGCTCGGCCTCCACCACCAGGGAACTCAAACCAGCCGGATTCCTGTGACTCCGCCAGGGCAGGCGAGAGCGGCGCGACACGCGGGCTAGAGCGTCAGCCCCGGCGCCGGCGGTGGGGCAGCGAGCGCGTGGAGGGCTAGAGCGCCGACGCGGCGCGCACCGTTGGCTGTGACGTCACAATTCGGCGCACGCCGCGGCCCTGGAGGTTTAGGGCGGGCACCGGACCACGGGAAGGAAGTACCTGAGGATGACAGTCTGACAGTCTTCCCCCACTAATCCTGGGGTGTTTACTTGTCTCACACCATAGCGAAAGACTCAGCCCCTGGAGGCTGTGTCCCTGAAAGCTTTGCCTACTTGCCCGTAGAATTCTTTAGTTCTCGAGCTGGTGTTTCCGTTTCCGTTTCCGCAGAACAAGTGGGTGAACCGAGCGAAGCGAAGCTTAAGAGCTCCCGAGCTCCCTACACTCCGTTAGGCGAGGAGAGTGCTCTTCCAGGCCATTCCCGGGCGCTTGGAAGGTGTGAGCTTTGTTGGGGCAGGCAGAGGAGGTGTAGGGGTCCTTCCTCCAGGACGGAAAGGAAGCAGGGACCCTTGGGGAAGGGCCAGCCATCTCATGTGGCAAAGAAATACAGGCAGTAAAAGGCTCCCCCTCGCTTCCCCAACAAAAGCACGTGCTATTTCCAGTGAGCACTTTACACTTACGCCAAGGTTGAAGCCGAGGCAGTAGTTGCAAAGTTAAATTGTGTTCCTTCACCTCCAAGAGCACAAATGAATCATTTGGATATGATAAAGGTGCACTGGCAGTTGCAGACTGTGCGAATCCAAGGCAGATATGTAAAACAGATACACATGTACACCTGAAGGAAGGTCAGTAAAGACAAATGTGGCAAAAAACAGAAGAATGAATGCTCAGTGAGCAACCATGACCATGAGCAACCAACCAGCCATTGAGGTTTGTGACTTGAGGTCACATACTCCAGCGTGAAGAACTGGGTTAGATGCTGTGTGCAGAGCAATGAAGATGCTCAGATGTCTTGACACTCAAAATAGAAATAGATGCACGTTGGTGAACTGTGCATGTCGGCCAGACCAGATATTTAATGGGGCAGGTAGTTGTATTTGTAGATATAAATTTAATCTCCATTCCTTTAGAGACCTTAAATTTTTGTGAGAGGAGTGGATCTCTGGCCTTGTGTGTAAGACACTGTTTGGGACGTTTGCATCATGTACTGGAATGCCTGGTGCAAGTCCTGGTTCTCCTGATTCCAGCATCCTGCTCAAGTGCACTCCGGGAAGCAACCCACCCAGGCTCAAGGGATTGAGTCTCTGCCGCCCATGTGGGAGAGCTGGGTCCTGTTTCTGGCTGCTGACTCAGACCTGAGCTAGCCTTTGCTGTCGCCTGTGGGGAGTGAGCCAGGGAGAGGGAGCTCACTCCGTCTCTGCCTCTCAAATAAAATAACAATAAAATAGAAAATATAAATAACAAAATATAAAGTACAAAGATAAGTGACATAGAACTACAGGCATCACAATGCGAAGTTAAGTTTTTAGAGAAAGACAAAAAATTCTTACTGACAGACTGAAGAGCCTGTAGAGGATCCGGGATTTGTGGAGGATTGACAACCTGTGTCTACTGAGGACGCACGTCAGATTCTGTGCCTATCTCCTTATATCTAATGGGCATTTCTTCTTTATGATCCTAGGAGCACGTTTTTGTCTCATCTCCATTTTATAGATGAGGAAACAGAAAAGTTACTTGCCTTGAGTCGTACACCTAGGAAGGGGTGGAATTCGTGTTGGGAAGGAGCCCTGCGAGCTTCCAAAGCCCAGTTCTTTAACCATGACGACATGAAAGGCACGGTGCTAATAAGGCAGAAATCCTCAGTGCCTTAAATACAGCCTCGCCATAAACTCAAAATGGACTAGGGTGATACGTGAGAGTTGGTGGTTTTCATGTATTTTGCTATCTGCTTGTCCCATACAAACAAGCTCCAAGTGACCCCACACGCTCCCAGGCTGAGGGGTTCAACAGGAAATGTGCTCATAATGGCCTGAGTATGAAGGCTGAGGGGCAGGGCAAGCAGGGAATGTGCTCACAATGGACCGAATGAATAAGGGTCAATGGACAGAGATGCTACATGTGCTGATAGAGACAGATCCCGGCTCATGAAACTGCATAAAAAGAGCAAATCGACAAAGCCAAGGGTTAGAGGTGTGTCTGGAAACAGAGCAGGCCGGAGGACTGACACAGCTGACAAAGACCGGCTTGTGCGACACGTCCCCAGTGAGCCCATCTCTTCCCTCAACCAGACCCCCCTACAAGACTCAGAGTGGCTCACGTTGAGTCCACAGGACAAGTATGGATTTTTGTTGTTGCTTGTATTCTTTCCAAAAACAATTGTAAACATTCTGAATAAGTATGTAGCACTAGTAAATTTTTATGGCATATTTCAATACACAAATACAGCATAACCTCATACAGACAATTAGAATTTTTATTTCCTTATCTTTTTTAAAAAAAATTCTATTTTTATTAAAGGGGCATTCTTTATTCTCTGCCACAGGGATGCAGAGGGGAAATGAGCTTGCTACGGTCTTACTCATTAGCAGGTTTTCTCTCTGTAAGAGTAGTGTTGGATGTGGCTGAAGCAGCTGATTTCTTTGACTCAGATAACGTGTAAACACATGTGCTGTGGTATGTCCTAAATTCTAATCAACCTTTCTTTTTTATCTTCCAGATTTGCCTGGGCGAAAGCATCTAAGGACCCTAGGGTTGCTGTAGGTCAACAGTCTCCACTGGAGAAGAAGATCTTGGTAAATATGTGACCCTCACATTACACAGCTTAGAGAATCTTTGAGAGAGGGAACCTTAGATCTGAAATCCTTCTGTGCAGGTAACACTTTCAGGTAGATGTCTACATTTGTAGTTATTTTCAGCTTTTGCTTTTTTCTTTTTCCATTTTGCAAAAAGATTTGTTTATTTTTTTCATTGGGAAGGCATACTTACAGTGAGAGAGAGATCTTCCATCCACTGGTTTGGCCGCAACGATCAGAGCTGAGCTGATCTGAAGCCAGGAGCTTCTTCCAGGTTTCCCGTGTGGGTGGGATCCTAAGGCTTTGGGCCATCCTCCACTGCTTTCCCAGGTCACAAGCAGGGAGCTGGATGGAAAGTGGAGCAGCTGGGACATGAACTGGCACCCATATGGGATCCTGGAGCTTGCAAGTGGAAGATGAGCCAATTGAGCCATCACACTGGCCCATTTTCAGCTTTTTCTACAACTGCAAAATGACATATCTTTCTGAAAACATTCAATAATTTAGCTTTACAACTAGCTGCTAATTGGTGGTGCTGAGTACATCATACTCTAGGGGTTCACAGGCTTGCTTGGGAGGGATGGAAGTAGAATCCAGTTACACAGGCAGAAATAAAAGGAGAAGTGTCTGTATTGATGTCAGTAGGAAGGATAGGCTGCTTTTTTAACGTGTGCTGAAAGAGATGAGTACATTATAAAATTCTGAACCTACTCTCCAGAATCTAGGTGGTGTACATACAAGAGCAGCAAGACAGTTGATCATTCAGAAGCATCGAGAAGAATATGAAGCACTCCGCAGGGAACAAGTGCTTTCTTTTGATTACTGGCTCGCCAAGGCAGAATCTTATTATAATAAAAGAATAGCGGACATGATGAAAGAAGAAGAGGCAGACAATGGAATGAAGAAGGAGACGGAAGAGAGCATAACTGAAAGCATCGAGGGGCAGCAGTGTTACTACTTGGTACCAGAGAGAGAGTTGAAACACATGGAAAAGCACATATATCAAATAGGCCAGGCCAGGGAATCCAGGAAGAAAACAGTTAGGCAACAGCTGCGACCCCGTGATAAGATCATACTACCAAAAATCATGCTGGAAGAGCAAGGCACGCAGACCACACAGAGAAGAAAGGTCAGTGAAAGGGAACAGATGCAAATTAAAAACCACCAGGAACGCATGGTTCGGGGGAGAGAACTCCTAGAGCAAAAACTCCGGGAAAGAATCTTGAGAAAAAGTCTGAGCCCACTGCCCATACGTGAGAAGCGCAAGGCAGTAAAAAAAGAGAACAAAGAGTTTGAACGAGTTGTTGCATATCCACTTTTCCAGCCAGACAGTGGAAGTCAGATTAAAGTAAACATTCTTATGGAAACGACTCCGAGTAGAGAAATAACAAGTATGATTGTACAACCAGCTGAAAGAAAGTTTTTGGCTGTGCCACCCTTCTTGAGGAGCCAAATAGGAAAAATGAAATATTGGTAAAATTTCAGCATTTTGTGAGAAAATCATATTTCTTAAAAGGAACTTTTTGCTAGTTATTTCTCCTAAAGGTTTGGTGCAACTTTTCATTTGTGGCAGACCCAGAACTATAAAGAAGCTGTGAACATGAAATATGGTTAGCTTTTTAAAATTACCCTTTGTGGTGTTAAGTATTCCTGTATGTAAAGTGGAAATCATGGCATTTTATCATGTAATACTTACAGGAAAATTATGATTTTTGTGAATCATTACTGTTTGTTAATTGTTAAATAAATGTTTGTTTCGCTGCTTGGGAAGCTTGGGTGATGGTGATGAATGAGGGTTTTTTTCTCAGCTGCTTCTGCCTTTCACCTGCTCCTGACCCTCAGGTTTATCTGGATGCCGTTGCTAAGGTCCTGATTTCACATTCACACCTTCATCAGAAAACTGTTAACCAGGCTCTAAAACTCTGTCTTGCACCGTACAATTTTTAATTGTATAAGAAACTTAATTCTGAGAACTTTCTATTATCCTGGCATTGTATTAGTTACTGGGAGTGAATAAAGAGGAGTTCTTGCCCTTAAATAGTTTACAGCTATTGGCATAAATCACTCTACAAGCACTTAACATGAGATAGTAAAGGTTATGATAGAAGTGTGTGTAGAGTGCTGCTCAAAGGAAAGACCTTGATGACACCCTAGAGAGCAGGGGGAGGAAAGAGGAGGTCCGAGAAGGGAGGTGGCTATCTCATATCTCTTCTAGCTCCACATTTTGTCACTTAAGAAACATTTTAAGGCCCGGCAGCGTGGTTTAGCAGCTAAAGTCCTCACCTTGAATGCGCCAGGATCCCATATGGGCACAGGTTCTAATCCTGGCAGCTCCACTTCCCATCCAGCTCCCTGCTTGTGGCCTAGGAAAGCAGTCGAGAACAGCCCAAAGCCTTGGGACTGCACCCGTGTGGGAGACCTGGAAGAAGTTCCTGGATCCTGGCTTCGGATCAGCATAGCACCAGCCATTGCGGTCACTTGGAGAGTGAATCATTGGACGGAAGATCTTTCTCTCTGTCCTGCTCTCTGTATATCTGACTTTCCAATAAAAATAAATCTTTTAAAAAAGAAACATTTTAAATATTTTTGTATTTGAAAGGCAAAATGAGAGTGAGATCGAGATCTTGAATTTGTGGTTCATTCCCCAAATGGGCTGAAAGACTGTGGCTCAGCCAGGCTGAAGGCACAAGTCTGGAACTCCAACTGAGTCTCCCACACAGGTGCAGGATCCAAGTATTTAGACCATCTTCTACTGCGTTCCAGATGCAACAACAGGGAACTGGATCAGAAGTGGAACAGTAAGGATTAGAACAAGTACTCTAATGTGGAAGGCAGGTGTTGCAAGCAACAGCTTAATGTGCTGTGTCACAATGCTGGTTCCACAGTTTGTCATTTCCTGTGATCCACTTAAAAGAAGATCTCGGGCTGGTACGGTGGGGCTAATTATCTGCCTACAGTGCTAGCATCCTGTATGGGTGCTGGTTTCTCCTTTGTATCCAGCTCCCTGTTTATGCCCTGGGAAAGCAGTGGAGGATGGCCTAAGTCCTTGGGCCCCTGCATGCATGTGGAAGACCTCGAAGAAGCTCCTCAATTCAAACTAGCTCAGCTCTGGTCCTCACTGCCATTTGAAGAGTAAACCAGCAAATGGACGATCTCTCTCTCCTCTTTGTAAATCTGCCTTTCAAATAAAAGGTCTTGAACAAACAAGACCTTCCCAATGTTTGAATCCTCAGAATTGACCCTGCTCAGCTTCTCTCAAGCGTATAACTCAAATATACTCATCGATAAATAAGAATTCATGATTGGTAAGTACAGAACAGAGTTTTAGAAACTGGGTGCCCTAAGGAGTTGTGACATTTTTTTTTTAAAAAAGAAATATTTTCTTAAAAGGCACAATGATAGAAAGGTAGGGATCTTCCATTCTGGTTCACTCCCCAAGTGGCTTCAATAGCTGGGTTGAGCTAATTGAAGCCAGGAGCCAGAAACTCCATCCAGGTTTTCCACATGTGTGGCATTGCACTAATGGAATAACCCATGCACTAACACTGCCCCCAAGTTGGGGTCGTCCTTCCTCTCTCTCTCTCTCTCTCCCTTTCTCCCTCCTCACCTTCCATCCTCCCTCCCTCCCTCCTTCCTCTTCCCTCCCTTCCTCAATCTGTTTCTCCCTCCCTTCCAAGGCAAAGTTACAGAAAGAGGCAAATTGAAATCTTCCATCTGCTGAGTCACGCTCTTCAAATGGTGGCAATGACTGGGGCTGACTCAGACCATAACCAGGAACCTGGAACTCCATCTCCCACATAGTTTCAGGGGTTTGGGTCATGTTCTGCTGCTTTCTAAGATGCATTAGCAGGGAGCTGCATTGGAAGTGCTTCAGCTGACACTGGAACCTGTGTCCATTATGGCATGCCAGCATCAGAGACAGCAGTTTAACTTGCTAGACCATGATGCCAGTTCTTTCTGTGTCTGACAGTATTTGCTGTTTTGATGGATTACTGCATATCTTCTGTTAGACTCAGATTCGTTTTCTGTATTTTTCAGAGGCTCCTTAATCTTAATTTTCAAATCCAAAGAGATTCGAAAGACAATGAAGAAAGCTTCTGAATGGAAATGACTTGATTTTCTTAAAATGGTTTCAGAAACTCTTTTGTTTCTGAATTTGCCTGGGACACATAAACAAAGTCATTCCTATCTATCTGAGTTTTCCTAATGATGATTTCTTTTTTCCTTTATGCCATCACAATGGAACTTTAATAAATTATTAAGATTTTATTTTTTATTGGAAGAGCAGATTTACAGAGAGAAGGAGAGAGAGAGAGAGAGAGAGAGAGAGAGAGAGAGCTGCATCTGCTTATTTGCTCTCCAAATGGCCACAATGGCAGGAGCTGAGTAGATCCAAAGCCAGGAGCCTCCTCCAGGTCTCCCACACACATGACAAGGTCCCAAAGGCTTTGGGCCATCTTCTACTGATTTCCTAAGCCATAGACAGGAAGCTAGATGGGAAGTAGAGCAGCCAGGACACGAACTGGCATACATATGGGATGCCAGTGGTTGGAGGTGGAGGATTAGACGGCTAAGCCGTTGTACTTGTCCCACTTTTATATTTTGAAAGTCTGGGAGTAACAGAGATCTTTCGTCTCTAGTTCACTCTTGAGATACCCACAATAGCTAAAGTTGGGCCAGGCCAAAGCCAGTAAGCCAGAGGAACTTCATTCAGATCTCATACATGTCAGGAAGCCTGATGCTTCATCCAACACCTGCTTCCTCCCAGACAACTTAGCAGGAAGTTTGATTGGAAGCTTAGAAGCTGGTGCTCAATCCCAGACAGTGAAGTGGGATGTGAGAATTCCAAGTTGTAACTTAAACTTCTGTGCCACAATGTCTGCCCGTGCAGATTTACTCTTAAAAAAAAAAAAAAACCCTAATGTGTTATAATCATGGTTTTCCAATTAGATAACCTTGTCTAAAGAAACCCAATTACTGTAAAAATTGGCTAGGGTCATTATGTAACTATAAAACATTTATTTAAAATGCATGTTAATTTATTCAAAATGTCAATTTGAAAGGTAGAGTGAGAGGAAGAGGGAGAGACACACACAGAGAGATATCTTCCACCTGCAGGTTCATTACCGAAATAATTACAATAGCCTGGTTTGGGGTAGGTCCAAGCTAGAAGCTAAGAGCTTCATCCTGGTCTCCCATGTGGGTGGCAGGGGTCCAGATACTTGGAGCATCATCTGCTGCCTTTCCAGGTGCATTTGTAGGTGCACTTGATTGGAAGTGGATCAGTTGGGCCTGACAGCAGTATTCTTTTTTTTATTATATTTAAAGATTTATTTTTATTGGAAAGTCAGATATACAGAGAGGAGGAGAGACAGAGAGGAAGATCTTCTGTCCGATGATTCACTCCCCAAGTGAGCGCAACGACTGGTGCTATGCCGATCCAAAGCCAGGATTCAGGAACTTCTTCCAGGTATCCCACACGGGTGCAGAGTCCCAAGGTTTAGGGCTGTCCTCGACTGCTTCCCAGGCCACAAGCAGAGAGCTGGATGGGAAGTGGAGCTGCTGGGATTAGAACTGGTGCCCATATGGGATCCTGGGTGCGTTCAATTTGAGGACTTTAGCCACTACACCACGCCGCTGGGCCACGCTGCTGGGCCCCTGACAGCAGAATTCTAAACTGGACTGCTGGCATCACAAGCAGTGGCTATGCCACAATGTGCACTGCTGTATAGCAGTTTAGAAACAGAATCCCACATGTCAGATCAAACAATCAAAGCAATACTGGGCATTTCATGTTGTCCCATAAGTTATTTAAAAGTCAATATGTTTATATCTGAATAATTTTCCTATTGTGTAACTTTAATTTTCCTGCTCAGTTCACTCTAGTTCATACAGATGCTGGTTAATGACATTTATACTCATCAGTGGGAACTAAAACCCTTAGAAATATCTTCAGGTGCCTATTCCCCTTGCACCTCTCTCCTCACATCCAGCAAGCCATTCAAACGGATTGATTGTATCTATCAAATGTATATTGACTGGTAGCGTCACCTGCATTTGCTTTGATTCTGACATTCAAACTCTAAAAACAAAACAAAACCATTTGTTTTTTTTTTTTTCAACTACCTTATTTCTTTGGTAAATATCATAAGATCATGGTAACTAAATTAATACAAATAATGGGCGTTAGAAGAGGTAGTAGGCTCTTAATAAATACTAGATATTAATTAAAGGAACTTTGTAAGGTATTAGCCATTGAGGTATATGGGAAGAGATTTGAAGTATATGTGAAGATTACGTAAATATTTTTTATCTCTTTCCCTAAGTGTACACTCTACCAGGAAGCTAAACTGCATGTGATCTTTTCCTCTCATCCTGGTTAGTTACCAGAGGCCAGATTCTCACAAGTGCTGAACTCTGGGAGATTATTGCCTATCACCTCTCACTTCTTTATCAATACAGCATCAAAACAATGTTAGCTCCTGTCCTACCGTGATATATAAGCCTGTCCTCTCTTCCCTTGGACTGCTTGTACCCCATTCTTCATGCATAGTCCCTTGCACTTACTGTAATTGCTGGTCTCCCGTTAGATTGTGTACTTTGCCTAGAAATGAATCATGGTGGCCAGTGCTGTGTCTTAGTAGATTCGTCATATTTCTGTGGGACTGTTTTTTTTTTTTTTCTGTTAACACCTTTACACTTCAACTGTAACAACAGATTAAATGCAGAACTAGATGCGAAAATGCAGTGAACTTGTAATGAGACAGAAAAATTGCCTTG